TAACTAATGGAAAACCTATAATAAGCTCTCCAGATTTTATTAAATATAACAGGTCAAACTAAATCAAACATTCATAATTCATAAACATTATAAACATATAACATGAATCAACTCATCAACAAAAATAAATACGACGTCTTGATTAATCATTCACTTCATAGTTAAATCGAAACTAAAGTTTAAACATTTCCTCAAACTAGATAAAATTCATAATCTAATACATTAATAAAAATAAATACTAAATAAAAGACAAAAGAGAGAGAATAAAATCTCTTGGGCAGGTGTGGCTTTTCTCTGCGTGTGCTCTTTATCCGTGAATTTTCTTATGTCCGTTTTCTTTATTCTCGGCTTTTTCTTTCCCGTGGCTGCCTCGGCTTTTTTGTCATTGTGTCTATATGATAGTGCTCCTTTCTTTTATCTGCGTACTGACTCTTTTTAATTTTTGGCAACTAAATCCTCAGCATATGTTCTAACTTTGGGCTGTGTGTCCTGGCAAACAATCCACTATCATAATATGTGATTCACGCTGCTCTCCCAATTAACTTGCTCTGCAAACATTGGCCCAATTCGTGGCCCATCTTGTTTTAAAATGTCATTTTTTCATATTTTTATTTTCTTTGGCAACCATTCTGGTATTGGGCTCAAATCAAGTTCTTATCCAATATTTTGTCTATCTTTAGAAATACTCTAATATGTTGAAAATAAACCATAAAAATACCAAAGAAAATAAATCCATTCAAATAATAAAAATGTCGAAAAAATATAAACGTGCGACTAAATTTAGTATATAAAAATACACTATTAAACTTATAAATGTACGCATTTTTCGACCTATCAGTGGTGAACAAATTATTTATATTTTACAAGTAACCAATGATATGATTTTCTGTCCATCCGTGATTAACTATAATTATCCAAATGTAAAACATCATAACATATAATTGTTTAATTAAACTTGATTCCCATTCAATTAGAAACAGTGTAAAAACTAATAAAAGCAAGCTTTCAATATTCTAGGCGGGCTTCAACCTGTCCTCCCACTTTTTCAGCTGTTGACTGTTGTGTATTCAGCCGTTGGCTGCTGTGTATTAGCACATTTGTGCATTTTGATTTATAATATTATCNAAGCTTTCAATATATACACTAACAGGTGTATCAGAACATCAACTGTATAATTGATCCTTAAAATATTGGGTCCTGATTATATAACTCTTCACCATTTTTTATTGAAATTTCTCCATATTTATCCTAAAGATAATATAATTTGTGTTACAAAAATAAATTATGGAAATACATTTGATGATATTTTTTAATCTATATTAACTCGGGAAGGCAACAAAAGTATTACGAAGATTTTATTTTAGAAACTCTTACCTTGAGGGGAAGCAACAAACAATTATGAATGTAACTAGAAAGGGTTTTTTCCTTCAGGGGGGAGCCTAAAAGACCAATTGTAATCCTAAAGATTATGCCTTGTTGGCAGGTGTTATACTCTTTTTCCTTAGCTAAGTCTTTTCTCCCATAGAGTTTTACTTAGTGAGGTTTTTAATATGCAACAAGTATAACACATGACTATGCATATGTGCCATGCACTCTTTTCTTTGACTACATTTTTCACTTGGTTTTATTGTGAGAATTTTAACGAGACATATACATGATGTGGTAATGCCCAAGGAAAAGTATTGTAAATATTTATTATGTATACATTACCTAAATATAGGTTTTGTAGGTATGGGTTAGAAGCTCATTAGACCATTAGTCACGTACAATATATTATCTTATATATACGACTCATGTAAATGAATAATATATCGCTTTACGCTTCGTCTCTTCTCTCTTGTTCTCTCTTGCTCCTTTCTCTCTTTTTCTATCTTATATCACAATAAACCCAACATATATATGGATTACCGTTGAACACTAGAAATTAACACATAAATTAATCAAGAAACAGAAAAACAAACACATAAAACTACGAATTAACAAAAATTAACATCAAGATTAAAAATCTCCGTACTCTTATATATTGACGCTTAAAATTGCGAATCAACAAAAGATTAAGATCTACATTAAAGAAACTTTGTCACATTTTTTAATTTAAATCTAACTCAGCCTTAATTCAATCTCACTGTCTTCAATATTATCAATATAATTAAATAATATCACTCAATCATTCTTACACATCATATCAATTTCAATTCACTGTTCATCCACTAACAACTAATCATATCACTTTTTTCAAATTAATCATACCAAACCAAAAAAATCTAAACGAAATCAAAACATTTTTATATCGAAACATCCTCTTAACATCTAGATTAAAAAAACTCTACATTCTTTTTCTATTTATATTATATATGAGTATTGATGATATATATTTCTTAAATAAATGAATGAATAAATGAACATTGTATCATTTTTTTTTTTTAATTTTTTGTTCTGCTTAATTTATTTATCTCCTCTGTAATGCTTCAAATTCATGTTCCACGCTGAGTATTTATATTACAACAAATGCTTTACCAGAACAGATGTCACCAACCAAATTTATGAAAAACAAAAAGTGGCCCACAATCAATGCCGACTTTGAATATGAATTAATGAGAAAACGTTTAAACCCTCTCTGCCCCTCCAAAGTCAAACCAATTGGGAAAAACAGCCAACAACATAAAGTTTGGTAGTATTTCTTATAAGACTGCGAGTATCATTACTTTAGTTGACTTGGCTGTAAATATATGTACAGTTCTCAAAATTTATTAAAAGCCATCGACAGATTTTTCGTTTCCAGTTTCCGCTACTTTTATTTTCAACCACTTCACGATGTAATTTGATACAGGCTGAACTTACCAAATTAACCTTGGCTTTCCTATACTTAGACATGACCAAAACCCGGGCCGGGTCACAACCCGGCCCGGCCCGCCGGGTCGCCGTGCTCAAAAACACTAACCCTGAACCGGCACGGACCTATACTCGTGCCGGGTCCGTATCCGGGCCGGGTCGTGTCCGGGCCGTGCCGGGTCCAGACCGGATCCGTGCTTTTTTTAAAAAAGAGTATAAAAAAATAATAAAAAAATTGAAAAGAAGGGTCATCAACCCGGCCCGGTCCTGACACTCCGGGCCGAGTCATGAAACGAATGACCCTTACACGGCCCTTCTGAAATCCGGGCCGGTCCCGGACCCGTGGTCAACGGGTTTGACCGGGCCGGGTTTGTGCCGGGTCAGGGCCGGGCGACCCTTTGGCCATGTCTACCTACACTACAACTACTTCATTATTTGATTTATTCTTCGAACTTATTATTATCAGGGAATTTGTAGATGATCCACTATTCTAATAATGTCACTATTATATACTCTAATCACATGCTTTTATATTCACTTTATTAAATTTCGCGCATTATTCATAGGCTATTTAGGCTTCATAAATAACTTTTACACAAGTGAGAAATAAACGTCCAAGATAGATTAGCACGTACAACATAATTAATGGTGTGAAATTTCATTGTTGTGTAAGATTTTGAAGCTTCTCGTGCTGAATTAGCTCTGTGAAAATTGGAAAAGAAATATTTTAAATCATAACATGTCACTATTTTATTTTATTTTTTTTTCTTCTTTTTGTTTTCTATGAAATTGTTCTAGAAGCAAGCGAGTTCCTAGAGCTCTTCATTATTTACAATTTATAAAGGGTTATCATTTAGGCATGATAATAAGACTTGGTTGAACCACTCCAACCATATGAAAACAATTCCTACCTTTTCCACTACTTTTGCAGTCCTTAAAACAAACATTTTGCTATTCATAAACAATTTTGTATACATAAATATAGATGTACACTCCATGTGTTAGTCCGTCCAAATATTAAGGGGGCGATTGGATATAAATTGAATAGTAAAAAAAATCAATCAAAATTCAAATTTAACTCAACTTTAACTCAACCTCATTATCTTTAATATTACCAATATAATTAAATAATATCAACCAATCATTCTTACACATCAAATCAACTTTAATTCACTATTCATCCACTCACATAATTTTAACTAATCATCACTTCCAGTCATTTTTCTCCTACTTTTACATCAAATCAACTTTAATTATTTTATTTAGATATTATTTTAATATATCCACTAACAACTAATCATACTTCTTTTTTTCCAAATTTAACTGTAGTTAAAAACAAACCAAATAAAAACTAGTTGAATCCATAAACAATCACTAAACTGCACTCCTATAATACCATAAGCTCTTCAATTTAAAAACTAATAATTAATTATTAAGAGTTTTTTCAATACAAGATTAACTAATAATTTTGTGTGTCGACTTTCAAAAGATTACACACATTCTCAATATTTTTTTTTAATGACTATTCTAGTATACTGCAAAGACTTCTTCAGTTTTTACATGGCTCATGACCTAAAATTAAAATTGTTGAAATCTAAGTATTCTGAAATAGTCTTCCTTCTAAGTTCTGACTTTCTCGACTTAATTAGGCACCTCAATGATATTCTTAATCCTACATATATACACACTAACTCTAGGATTAAATTATTAAATGGACCAATTTGCCCTAGAAAAACAGTACAAACTCAGAGAGAAGTACCAATTCAAAACAATTAGACTAAAGACCAAATCGTATCAAAGATCCACAACATTTTGAACGGACCCATCAACAGCAAATTAACCCCAAACAATACCCCTAAAATACAACCAATTTCATCATAAACACAAATTCAACACAAGGGCATCCCGGTCAATTCACATGTAAACCCCAACAGCATAGACTTAAATAATAAATATACCAAAAACAACATCACCACCACCCAACTGCTCTTCTTTGACACTTTCTGCAAAAATCCAAACAAAAACAATAAAACCAAAAAAGAAAAGAAAAAAAAGGCCAAACCCAAACCCAAAAATCAAAACCCCCAAAACCAAACTCATGAAGCAATGATAAGAAAAGAGCAGAAACACAGTCGTCGTCGTCCATCCCCAAACCCTGATGAAACAACATGGGTTGTGCACAAAATTCCGACACAACAATCACCAAATTTCTCCCTATACTATTACTCATCTTCCTAATCAATCTATCAAAATCATCATCTCAATCACCTTCTTCTCCACAAAACATCCAAACTTTTTACCCATTCTCCCCACCACCACCGCCAATTCTCCCTCCAAATCCACCCACCGATCGGACACCAACCGCCGCCAATCCGCCGCCGCCGCCGCGCCGGAGCTCTTCGAGGGCGGCCGTCGGGCGGGCCATCGGGGCAACCGCCGCCACCACCATAGTCTTATCAGGACTCCTCTTCTTCCTCCTTCTCCGGCGATCTCGCCGGAAAAGATCACCGGAGGAAGTTGTTGTCACGGACCCGATCAACGCCTTCACAACGAGGTTCAATGGGAATATAAAGGGGCTGATCGTGGACGAGAATGGGCTCGACGTGCTCTACTGGAGGAATATGGAGGAGGGAGGAGAAAACTTCACGAAAAAGTATTATAACGGTGAAGCTGAGGAGGAAGAAGAGCAGGAGAAGAGAATTGTGAGTGGTAGAGAGAGAAAGTATAGCAATAATAAGCCTCCTAAACAGGAGGTTCCTTTGCTCAGAGGAAAATCCTCCACTTCCCAAAGTCCGATGTGGGATCAAGTCATGACCAAACAAGCTAATAACATCTCCTTCAACGCAATTGAAAAGCAAGGCTCAATTCAACTCACCAAACCAGAAACAGCGGTGGAGAAGACTCCACCACCACCACCACCACCTCCGCCACCAATGCCACCACAAACGGCGGCACCACCACCTCTGCCGCCAGCACTGCCAAATAAAATCCCGATGGCCCCACCTAACAAGCGCTCGTCCTCCACCGGACATAAAAACGAGCAAGTGAAGCTCAAGCCATTGCATTGGGACAAGGTGAACCCAAACGCAGTCGACCACTCCATGGTTTGGGACAAAATCGATAAGGGCTCTTTCAAGTAGGTTCCCTTTATTCAACACTCTCTAACTTCAACTTTCTTTCTTTCTACACACTCAGCCTTAATTCACAATAACTGAAACAAAAAAAAATATGCAGATTCGATGGTGACCTAATGGAGGCACTCTTCGGCTACGTCGCCACAAACCGGAAATCCCCCCAAAGGGACGACCGATCATCACCAAGCCCAAGCAGTCCCGCAAAATCAGGCCCACCCCCACAAATCTTCATCCTCGACAATCGCAAATCCCAAAACACATCAATCGTGCTCAAATCTCTCGGCGTCACACGCAAAGAAATTATAGACGCACTAATCAACGGGCGAGGCCTGAATCCCGATACAATCGAGAAGCTCGCGAAAATAGCACCATCAGACGAAGAGGCGTCCCAAATCACGGCCTTCAGTGGAGACCCCACGAGATTAGCAGACGCCGAGTCTTTTCTCTATCATTTGCTCAAGAGTGTCCCGTCTGCCTTTGCACGCTTCAATGCCATGCTCTTTAGGTCGAACCACGAGTCGGAAATAAACTCGGTCAAAGAGTCGCTAAAGTCGATCGAGCTGGCTTGCAACGAGCTGAGGTCACGCGGGCTGTTCCTGAAGCTTCTAGAAGCTGTGCTGAAAGCTGGTAATCGGCTGAACGCAGGAACGTCGAGAGGGAATGCACAGGCTTTCAATTTAACTGCTCTGAGGAAACTGTCGGACGTTAAGAGCTCAGATGGGAAGACGACCTTGCTCGAGTTTGTGGTTCAGGAAGTTGTCAGGGCTGAGGGGAAAAGGTGTGTTCTGAACAAGAGTCGTGGTGGATCGAGCAAAACGAGCAGCCAGAGGAGCGATTTCTCGGGAAGCCAGAGTCCGGAACAGTCTAAGGACGATCGTGAGAGAGAATACATGATGCTCGGATTGCCCGTGATTGGCGGATTGAGCGCTGAATTCTCGAACGTGAAAAGGGCTGCGGCTTTGGATTACGATTTCCTGGCGAAATCGATGGCGGCGTTATCGGAGAAAGTGAATTCGGTGCGGGAATTGGTTTCCCGTTGTGGGGACGGCGGAGGGTTTGTGCGGGAGATGAAGGGGTTTCTGGACACGGCGGAGTTGGAGGTGAAGGTGATGAGGGAAGAGGAAATTAGGGTAATGGAGGTGGTGAGGAAGACGACGGATTATTACCAGGCGGGGGGTTTGGAGGAGAAAGGGGGGGATGGGAAACTCCAGCTGTTCGTTATAGTGAGGGATTTTCTGGGAATGGTGGATAGGGTTTGTGTCGAGATCGCGAGGAATGTGCAGAGGAGGAAATTGCCGGCGTCCTACGCGGCCGGCGAGTCGTCCTCGCCGGGATCGCCGAGGGTTTTCAGGTTTCCGAAGTTGCCGGCGAACTTTATGTCGGATAATTCGAAGAGCAGCTCGGACAATGATTCCGAGGTAAAGTGATGAAATTGAGAGGGAGACGGAGTCGCTGAGGGTTTGTATAGTTAAAAGGGAAGGATGTTTGAGATACTGAAATGGCTATGGGTTGGTTTTTTTTTTTCATTATTTTTTAAATTGTAAGATTCTTGTTTGTTATTAGATTGCAACTGCATACAGAAATGAACAGGATTTTTTCCAGCATCTTTCGGTTCTCTGATTTTATTTTATTTTATCTTATTTTATTTTTTTTATTTTTTATTTTTTTGTGGTTAAAACAAGCAATAAGGTGAGATAACTTATAAGTCAATTTAGAGCTTATAATTTGGTAATACAAATGACCTTGAGCGACCTTGATACCTACAACATAGCGCCCGGAATTGTCTCAGCGTAGAAGTTCTGACAAGAAGATGGTGAAAAATATGCATTGTATATATACCTGTATAAATATTAGAGTGTAAGTGATCATGCATCACCCCATTATATAGGCGCGTTATCTTATTGGCCAAGACTGCTCAATTGGGCTATTTTAGTACCTGAGTTTCTCGTTCGTACTGTCCGGTTGCCCAAACTGCCCAATACCGTTATCCACGTGTTCTTCTTCTCTTAATTATATTCCTTCATATCTATTATGTAGAGTGTTCACATTTGACTACATGATTATTAATTAAGTGGTGTAATTGTGCTACTAGCTCGGATTCCCTTGAACCAAGTTGCTCCGACCTTCAGTGGATAAACCTACCTCCTGGGTCCTACATCGAGTTGCAGACCTCCAGGTCGAGTTTCCATCAGGCTAGCAGAGAGCCCTAACTCGACCAGTTGGTGAGTTCCCTTGTGAGGTCACCATTGGCCTGGTGAATCCTCGACCTCTAGTGTCCTCGATGTCTGCCCGACCTACCGGTTCACCTGATCCTGTCAGACCTCTCTTCAGGTCGTAAACGTCTGGTATGGTATCTCATATCATCTGATCCCCCTAGTAGAGTAGGGGTGTCTTGAGCTAAGAGTAGAACCAATTAAGCTCAGTTATGCTCATTGAGTTCACGTAGACGTGTCCAT